TCGAACAAACGACTGGGTCAAATTAGTATGAATTTGCTTGTAAAAATTTAAATATCAATGAAGAATAAGTTATTTTGTATTTTACCCCCTTTTTCTCCCCAATTTCGATCTTGTCTCATTGCTGCAACTCCCCAACGGGCTCGGGAGAGGCGAAGGTGGAGAATAATATATATAAATTATATTAAATTAATTATTTACCATGTAATACCACATTCCAGTCTTCAGATGGCACTTTTGTTCTATTTCAGCATCAGTTTACTAACCAAACCTGAAGAAGAAAAGAACCAGGGTTGTGGCAGCGGAGGCAGAGAAGAATTTGGGATTGTGAGGAATTACTGCAGAACAGCTGCTGTTGAGTGGTAGTGTTCTGGACACAGTAGGTTGGTGCTACCTTAATTGGGGAGGATGTGCTCGTGGTAATGACTGGAACGGAATTGTGGAATGGTATCAAATACATTAAACACATGGTTTCCATGTGATTGATGCCATTCCATATGCTCCGTTCCAGCCATTATTATGAGCCGTCCTCCCCTCAGCAGCCTACACTGGTTCTGGAGTAGGACTAGATAGGGTTAAATAGTGGAATGGGGTGGTGGGTTTATTAGAGAGGGCTAATAGTTGGCAGGGCAATTTTCACTTTTCCCAATTTTGTATTACCGTATTAAGAATTTAATGTAGGTAGGCCGTGAATGGCCTCACACACCAGTACAGTAGGTGGCGATGTATGCATCTAACAGTTGGAGGCGATCCGCCATCCAATCCCAAAGAAGAAGAAAAAGAGGAAGCGAATAACCAGGAAACTATAAAATTGAAGGTATTGCTTTGAGAAAATTTGACGTGGCACAACTATTTAACAGGTATTTACAGTATGACATACTATTTTACTCGTAGAAAAACTTAAGTGAGGTGTCCATTTAGTAAACTACATGAAGTGTAAGAACTGGATCTGGCAGTAAAGTGACCAAAATCCAAACAAACATGGTTAGTTTGCTACTTTAGTTTGTTGAGGTAGCCTATAAACCTATATAAAGAGGTTTACGTTTTGGTGTGTGTTTTTTGATAGATGTTGTCCTCAGGTTGTTCCATTATACCTCTGACAGGAAAGTAAGGGAGCTTTCGCACCAAATTGGTTTCAAGCGTTTTTACGAACTCTGGCGCATAATCGCCCTTGTTTCGGTTCGTTTGGGCTGGTGTGAACTCTTATCAACACACGGGAGCGCACCAACAACACACTGTGGTTCGCTCAAAAGGGGTGGTCTCGGTCCGATTCCATTCGTAACGTGGTGCCAGTTGGGACCAAAAACAGGAAAATAACCAGAGGCACGCAGTATTGTTGGTTGTTTGACTGCGAACATTTGATGATATGCAAGCAGTAGCTTACCATAACTTGATATCTCTGAAACATTATGTGAGTAGTCAGCCCATTTATGAGCGCATGCTGATTAGGGCCCCGGGCTATACCAGGGATAAAGGCTACTGAATATACCCTATTCACGTCGCGGTTAGAGCAAGCAGCTTTTGCTCTGTTTTCTTCCGCATGTTGTTGGAAGATCAAAGCGAAAGTAATATGAAGTTTGAGACACAAGTTATGCTCCTTGATAATCATATATGGATTTAACATGACCATTTTTCTCCAAAAAACAAATTACTTGCATGAACCCCATGGTTTTGTTTAGGTGTTTTAGTTTGTTTGACATTTCGCAATGTGAAACCAGACCAAATAAAAAAACAATGTAACAAGTAATCTAACACTGATTCGAAATATACCTCAGAACTATATGTGTGAAAACGCTGTAAGATTGTCAGTGCATTTCCTTAAATGTTTGATGTAAGCAGACCTACTTCATCATAAGTAAGACTCTTGTATCTGCCAGTGTGCCAATCTTTATACAACGGGTGGGTCTAATTCTGAATGCTGAATGGTTAAATCTGCATTCCAGCCAGTGTCTATTCCACAAGTTACCACTGGTTAAATCTATGACGTTAAAATGAATATTTACTCTGTTCCATCTGACTGCGCAATCCACTGTTAAATCAGCCCAGCCAGGCAATTTATAAACTTGATCTCCACTATAAAAAGCATCTAGACATTATCTCCCATTTCTTTTAGACTAACATTTAGTTTTCAACAGCGGAGATTTGTATAAACCTTGCTGTCTGTCTCTCCGACATTTGCAACATTGTTTCAATATTCAAATTCGATCTCCAGCTGTCGCATAGTAATGAATGTGTCGGGAGTTGGGATGAGACAGGCAGGCAGCTTTTCTCAGCCAGACGAAATCATGAATTAGCATCATTTTTATGGATATATTCAAAGAAATATCAATAGAAAACAGGTAAAACGAAGTGCAGCTAGTTTGCAGTCTTTCCAGCTTCAGTTTGAAGTGATTGTGTTAGCTGTGTTGTTGACTAGCTCCTCTGAACAACAGTGTCCTGACTAGAGAGCCCATTTTCTATGCCAGGTGAAATCGCGCCTCATTAGCTCATCGTTATGGATGTATCCAAATAAGTGTCACTAGAAAACAGCTTATGCAAATGCAGCTACTTTGTTGTTATTCTGGCTGCACTGTTTGACGTGATTGTAAGTTAGCCTTAGTTGGCTAGCTAGCAAGCAAGGGGTAAGAACGTTGCCAGCCAGTATGGCAATAGAACATTTAGAACGAACGACTGGGTCGAATTTACAGAAGAAAAAGACTGAACGACTGGTTTGTGTCTCTGGCAACCGAACCGGTAGAACGAATGACCAGCCGGCTTGGGTAGCAACCCTAGATTTGTGTCAGGACTATATCTTGTGGAAGGAAGAAATAGTATGAATAAATTCATCATAACGTTTAATGAAAATATGTAAATCATTATTTGAATATGTTGGTAACCCATTGTGTAAAAGTGATAATGCCCTTGAAGCCGGTGTTTGGAGGATATATTGGCATGGTTTATAAATTGCCTGGCTGGGCTGATGAGACAGTGGATTACGCAGTCAGATGAAGCAAAGTAAATACGCATTTTAACGTCAGATTTAGCCGGTGGTAACTTGTGGAATAGACACCGGCTGGAATGCAGTTTTAACCAATCAGCATTCAGGATTAGACCCACCCGTTGTATGAATACAGTGCATTCGGAATGTATTCAGACCCCTTGACTTTTTCCACATTTTGTTACGTTACAGCCTTATTCTAAAATGGATTAAATCGTTTTTTTCCCTTCATCAGTCTATACAAAAATATCACATTTACATAAGTATTCAGACCCTTTACTCAGTACTTTGTTGAAGCACCTTTTGCAGAGATTACAGCCTCAAGTCTTCTTGGGTATGATGCTACAAGCTTGGCACACCTGTATTTGGGGAATTTCTCCCATTCTTCTCTGCAGATCCTCTCAAGCTTTGTCAGATTGGATGGGGAGCGTCGCTGCACAGCTATTTACAGGTCTCTCCAGAGATGTTCAATCGGGTTCAAGTACGGGCTCTGGCTGGGCCACTCAAGGACATTCAGAGACTTGTCCCAAAGCCTCTCCTGCATTGCCTTGGCTGTGCTTAGGGTCGTTATCCTGTTGGAAGGTTTGCCAAAAGGTACCTAAAGGACTCTCAGACCATGAGAAAAAATATTCTCTGTTCTGATGAAACCAAGATTGAACTCTTTGGCCTGAATGCCAAGTGTCACGTCTGGAGGAAACCTTGCATGGTGGTGGCATTATCATGCTGTGGGGATGTGTTTCAGCGGCAGGGACCGGGAGACTAGTCAGGATCGAGGGAAAGATGATCGGAGCAGGTTTTTGAGGTCCTGAACGCTCTGGAGCAGGTTTTCATCAAGGATCTCTCTGTACTTTGCTCCGATCATCTTTCCCTCGATCCTGACTAGTCTCCCGGTCCCTGCCGCTGAAACACATCCCCACAGCATGATATAGACAGGTGTGTCCCTTTCCAAATCATGTCCAATCAATTGAATTTACCACGTGGACTCCAATCAAGTTGTAGAAACATCTCAAGGATGATCAATGGAAACAGGATGCACCTGAGCTCAATTTCGAAACCTCATAGCAAAGGGTCTGAATACTTATGTAAATAAGGTATTTCTGTTTTTAATTTTTTATACATTTGGTAAAATTTCGAAACCTGTTTTCGCTTTGTCATTATGGGGTATTGTGTGTAGATTGAGAAAAAATAAAGAATTTAATCAATTTTCGAATAAGGCTGTAACGTAACAAAATGAGGAAAAAGTAAAGGGGTCTGAATACTTTCCAAATGCACTAATATAATGACACACACATCAGGACATGTACATAGTGAACTCGTACACATTGTAAATTTAAGCAATAAGGCCCAAGGGTGTGTGGTATATGGCCAGTATACCACGGTAAAGGGCTGTTATTATGCACGACGCAAGATGGAGTGCCTGGGTACAGCCCTTAGCTGTGGTATATTGGCCATATACCACAAACCACTGAGGTGTGTTAATGCTATTATAAACTGATTACCAGCGTAATTAAAGCAGTAAAAATAAATGTTTTGCCATACCTGTGGTATGTCAGCCAATCAGCATTCAGGGCTCGAACCACTCAGTTTATAAATGAAAATAGAGTACAGTATTTCAGAACGTGACCTACCGCTTGTATGTCAATATCAGACTGGGAAGAATCTCCCCTATCTGCAAGCATTACCAATGGCCGTACACCTTATACTGTAAATTCAACCAACCAATAGGAATACATACACATTGAATACATATTTCTGCAGTGTCAAGTGGAAATAAAACCAACCCTGTTACACTGGCACACAGACACTTTGAACATTCAGAATAAGTTATAGCCTTGTTGTTAATGCAACACATTGATAAATAGGTGCGCTTCAAATGGCACATTGAGGACATTATAGTTACATTTTAACAAAATGTCTTAAACTGCTAATTCATTACCATATTAAATGTTATCGGTTTAAATGCAAATGGCATCTTCAATTTTAACGCATTATACATAGGCCCATTCCCTATCTTCATTTCTCTTTTCAAATATTGTAGAATGGACAAGGTGATCAACTGCTTCAGTAAGAGACCTGATGCCATGGCCAGACTGATATGCTTCCCATGGGCAGGAGGAGGCTCCATACACTATGCACGCTGGGGGAAAATCCTCAGCTCCATTGAAGGTGATGATGATGATAATAATACATTGGATTTACATAGACTTTTTCAAACACCCAAAGGCGCTTTACATTAGGTACTATTATTATTAGAGCCCGACGATAAATCGATTGACCGATATTATCGGCTGCTATTAGCCTTTCACATAAATATTTGTATCTGTCTTTATTCCGCATATAAAGCACCGATATTATATACATAGAATTAACAAATAAAGTATGCCTGCTCATTTGCTGTCATTCTTTGAATTTTTCAATGGTTGCCTGAAGATGGCGCTCTACGAGCTGCTCATTGAACATCATTCAGCCCTAAGTCAAGACATGAGAGAGAGTAGGCATGGTGGTTTGACGGTGAGTAGCTTGCCACAGCCAGTGACGGCGTATTTGAATAGGTAAATAATCAAAAGTACACTTCACCAAGCAAGCAGCCCTGTCCTCATCACATTCTTACTTAGTTAACGTTAGCTGGCTAGCTAGACAGCAATGTAGTTAGGCTCTCTCTAGCCAGCAAGATATACTACATGACCAAAAGTATGTGGACACCTGCTCATCGAACATCTCATTCCAAAATCATGGACATTAATATGGAGTTGGTCCCCCCTTTGATGCTATAACAGCCTCCACTCTTCTGGGAAGGCTTTACACTAGATGTTGGAACATTGCTGCAGGGACTTGCTTCCATTTAGCCACGAGCATTAGTGAGGTCGGACACTGATGTTGGGTGATTAGGCGTGGCTCGCAGTCGGCGTTCCAATTCATCCCAAAGGTGTTTGATGGAGTTGAGGTCAGGGCTCTGTGCAGGCCAGTCAAGTTTTTCCACACCGATCTCGACAAACCATTTCTGTATGGACCTCGCTTTGTGCACGTGGGCATTGTCATGCTGAAATGGGAAAGGTCCTTCCTCAAACTGTTGCCACAAAGTTGGAAGCACAGAATTGTCTAGAATGTCATTGTAGCGCTAAGATTTCCCTTCACTGGAACTAAGGGGCCTAGCCCGAACCATAAAAAAACAGCCCCAGACCATTATTCCTCCTCCACCAAACTTTACAGTTGGCACTATGCATTGGGGCAGGTAGCGTTCTCCTGGCATCCGCCAAGCCCAGATTTGTCTGTCGGACTGCCAGTCGGTGAAGCGGATTAATCACTCCAGAAAACGCGTTTCCACTGCTCCAGAGTCCAATGGCGGTGAGCTTTACACTACTCCAGCTGACACTTGGCATTGCGCATGGTGATCTTAGGCTTGTGTGGCTGCTCGGCCATGGAATCCCATTTCATGAAGCTGCCGACGAACAGTTATTGTGCTGGCGTTGCTTCCAGAAGGAGTTTGGAACTCAGTAGTGAGTGTTGCAACTGAGGACAGACTATTTTTACACGCTTCAGCACTGGGCGGTCCCGTTCTGTAAGCTTGTGTGGCCTACCACTTCGCGGCTGAGCCGTTGTTGCTTCTAGACGTTTCCACTTCACAATAGCAGCACAGTTGACCGGGGCAGCTCTAGCAGGGCAGAAATTTGACAAACTGACTTGTTGGAAAGGTGGCATCCTATGACGGTGCAACGTTGAAAGTCACTGAGCTCATTCTACTACCAATGTTTGTCTATGGAGATGGCTGTGTGGGCATGGCTGTGTACTCGAGTTTGTGTACTCGATTGTCAGCAACGGTTGTGACTGAAATAGCTGAATCCACTAATGTGAAGGGGTGTCCACATACTATTGTGTGTGTGTGTATGTATATATATATATATATATATATATAAGTAGTTAACCTAGCTAGCAATCTGTGCTACTTATGTGCGAACACTGGACTGGCGCCAAATTGAACACTTACTGTGTGGGCCTATTATGTTAGTGGGTTTATTTAGTTAGTTTTCCGTAAAAAGCTAGATAGTTGGTGCAGATCTATCATTCGGGTCATGTGCTTGCATTCATGATAAGATTGTTGGGTAGATAGCTAAATTAGAAGTTGTATGACCAAAACCAGTGCGGCAAGGACTTTGCTGCATTAACGTTTTCAGTCATCAGCGTATGCCATTTGCAGTTGAAATATACACTGAGTGTACAAAACATTGACACCTGCACTTCCCATGACATAGACTGACCAGGTGAAAGCTATTATCTTTTATTGATGTCACTTGTTAAATCCTCTTAAATCAGTGTAGATGAAGGGAAGGAGACACGTTAAAGAAGGATTTTTAAGCCTTGAGACAATTGAGACATGGATTGTGCGTGTGCCATTCAGAGGGTGAATGGGCAAGACAAAAGATTTAAGACATTTTAACGGGTTATGGTGGTAGGTGCCAGGCGCACTGGCTCAACAGTTTCCTGTGTATATCAAGAATGGTCCAGCACCCAAAGGACATCCAGCCAACTTGACACAACTGTAGGAAGCATTGGAGTCAACATGGGCCAGCATCCCTGTGGAACGCTTTTGACACCTTGTAGAGTTCATGCCCTGACGAATTGAGGCTGTTCTGTGGGCAAAAAGGGGTGCTACTCAATATTAGGAAGGTTTTCCTAATGTTTTGTACACTGTGACTAGCCAATACATGTTGTATTGAATAACAGTGTAATTTACATTATGGTTTCAGTAAGAAAACATTGTTGTAATGAACAGCTAGCATGCACTAACCAAGATCTCATTGCGAGGTTTCCATAAAGTGTTTGTTTACATGACCCATGACCTTTGACTGTTGTAAAGCACTGCAGTGAATCTACTCAAAACAAATGATGACACCTAGTGGTGACATTATGAACTGCATGTTACTGCATTTCACTGCATTGGTTGTGAACAGTGAAGTTTCAGATTTATTGAGACAAAGTTTCATTAATTCAGCCCTCCTTGTTTATTAATTTGCTTGTGGTGCTTCAGCAACAAAACAATTCTGCATTCTTATCCGCTGCCATAGATGGACATATCTTTAAGTTGTATTTACTTTAGTATTTATGGAGGATATAGTAGCTTTTTGATGTAAACCACAAATAATTGTAATATTTAGTTAAGAAATCATCATTTAGAGTATCTGTTAATCCTTTGGACCACAATTTGTGTAAAAAAAGGTTGTCTTTCATTCCACCTCTAAAAAACAATATATTGGTAATCAGTGACTTTTTCCTCCCTAAAATCAGTATGAGTATTGGACCCAAGAAACCCATATCGGTCGGGCTCTAATTATATTTTAAAAATAGGATTGGTTTATTGAAATTGCATTATCGATTGATGGCTCCGAATTCATGAGCTTTAGGCTTAGTGAAGTGAAAGGAGAAATAAAATGTCTGTAAAACATACACAATGTATCTCCCACTTTTTCCTTTGCTAGTGTTTGCTGTTAAACTTCCTGGCAGGGAGGCTCGAGCCAAAGAGCCCTTCTTTCAAAGCATGGAGCAGATTGTTGATGAGATCATCAATGTGCTGCTGCCGGTGCTCAAAGAGAAGCCGTTTGCCCTCTTTGGCCACAGGTACAAGTAGAAAAATGTCATCACTTAGTTGTGAATCTCGTCACCCAGAACAAATCAGGCTGTCACGAGTACAGTTAGTTTTTGATGACACATAGTTACTGATGGCACTGTTTGATCTATAGTCATCATCATCATGGTCCTTTCTTTCCTGAAGCTACATTTTATTGATCCAAAGTTGTCAGAATTGTCATTATTACCTTTTATAACTATTCTGCACTGTCACAGCTTTGGCGCCATGACCAGCTTTGCTATAGCAGATACTTTGAAAAGAGTCCACAAGCTGGAACCAATTCACATCTTCCTGTCTGGTGCCTCTGCACCCTACGTGAGTACTGTAATAGCAATCATGTAAAAACGGAACAGCAATATACAATATAACTTTACTATGACATTTGTATGACATGCAATCATATGGGCATTTCTGATAGCATTTCAGAAGTTATCACTTAATGTACTGACCTAAAGCAGTCATGCTTTAGTTTTTCCTTTATTTCTAGTCTGAGATGCGTATCCAAGCCCCAAATAGAAGTGATTTATCAGACGAGGAATTCCTCCAGTGGATGACCAGGATTGGTGGGACTCCCCCCGAGTTACTGGCCAATTCTGAGGTGGTAAAGCTCTTCCTGCCTGCGCTGAAAGCCGACCTCCACGTGGTAGAGAACTACAGGTGGGCATCTCTGGCTTTGTCACAATTATCTCTCCTTCCTCCCAAAGTGTGCACTTTCACTCATTTGAAAGGAAATTACTGGTATAAGAAATATGGTGGAAATTTCCCCTAGCCCATGCCTCCCATCAATCCAATTATTTTAGATTTGTGGACAGTAGTGAACAAGTGCACACTTCAGAAGATAGGAGATATTGTTGGGACGCGCCTTCTATTAGCATCACTGGCCTGTACATGTTATTTAGCGACATATTTGTTACCACTTATACCATGGCATTGTTGAATACTCGATTCTGATTGTCTAGAAGGGCATTATAGAGCGTGCATTATTTCCTTATAATGCACTGTATAATTCAATGGCTATGAAGTTAAAGAGCATCTGAACACACCGATTGGCACGTGTGTTTTTCTGTTGCTCATTAGAAAAACGAGATTTCAGTTTTGGAGGTGTGTTTCCTGATCGATTCCGCGTTTGGTTAATAATGTTTGTCCCCCTTGAGACACTGAAGCCTATTTCACTTCCTCAAAATCCCCAGAATGAATCTAAGATAACTCAAGAAATCTTGATTAATTTTGACGTTTCTGTCGAGGATGTTTTAGTTGCGTAATTGTTTGGAGTATTTCTCAAGACAAAAATTATCCTATTTACACTTTGTAGTCAATTTCGACACTAGAATAACTGTTTCTGACTAATCGATGCCACATAGCCCGTTTTTAAAGGGATTTGTTGCTTTTTAAAGGTAGTCACTCTTTAATACTTACATGTTCTATATTTGAGCTGCTTTTGAAAGCAAAAGTTGAATTGAAAACTTTATTGGCATTGTTGAATTCGATTTTCATTATAGCAAGCTACTGGAGGACTGATGGATTTGGTTAGCTTGCTAGCAAGCCTGTTATCGCCCATATTACATATGTATAAATTATTACACATGTATAAATATGTAATAAAGATTGTTCTTGTGTTCCAGGTGCGACAGGCCAGACAGTCCTCTCCTCTCCTGCCCAGTCACATGCTTCGATGGAAAGCAGGACATGCCTCATGACTTACAAGGTCAGAGTTCTGATGCGATGTCTAGCAATTCTCTCAATAACATTTACACTGCTGTAACACCCTGTGATTAACACAAATTACATGACTGTATGAGTTCTGCACGTGTATATAAAAACATGGCCAAGTGATGAGCACAGTTCAGCTAAAGGTTCCTGGCGGTTTGTGTAAGGTCTTGAGAGAACTCTTCATAAATTCCGTGATCATTTTAGAACCTTTTGAAGTTGCTTTAGAACTTTAGTTGTGGAAAATTGTGATCTGTTTCCATCGCAACTTTAAATGTGTTATGCGTCTTTCCCTTTTTCTCATTTAACAGCATGGAAAGACATATCATCTGGAGATTTTACAGTGCAAATGCTACCTGGAGCTCACTTTTATTTAAAAGATGCAGCCAATGAGAAGGTCATATTGGACTACATCACAAAGTATCTGGAGATGGCGGAAATTGACTACTTGTAGCTATGAAGGGCGCAGTGGCAGTGACACAACCAGTTTTACTTAGTTTTTGAAGAATAGGAGTCCAAGAAGCATTTCAACAGTAGTATCATTGGTAACAGTCAGGTCACTCACTGCAATTCCTGCCTACAAAATATCATTCCTTTTTCTATGCCTTGGAGCAATAATGCAAATGATGGAAGTAGGGTTTGTTGACCATGTGAATCTAGCCAATGTAATTAGTATTTTAAGAGTGAGGTAAGTTGTATTACAGTTTAAAATGGAAACAGACAGATTGCCTGACTAGTCCTCTTTGTATACCAATGTCTGCCTCCCAAATTACACCTTATTCCCTTTTATAGTGCACTACTTTTGACCAGCACTATATAGGGAATAGGGTGCCATTTGGGACATTGTCTGTTACCATTACTGTACTGTACCAATGACATTCTGCTGAGCCTGATGTACCTGAGGTTGGTCAACGTCTGTGGCCGTTTCGGCACCATCTGTGCATCTGTCACTTTTATGTTCTGATCAAAAGTGTTAGCATGTGTCACGAGAATTTTGTTATCTCAATGGTTGAAGTCAAACACTTCTTAAATCTTTGAATAATTCCCAGAGGTGTAAATCTCTAGTTTAAATTAATTAAACAAAGACCCCTTATTGCAATGGTCAGCCTTTATTCATTGAGAGTGCTCTGCAACAAAATGGTCGTACAATCTTTTTATACACACACGTCAGAGGAAAAATCCCACCCTGCTTTAGGCGCGCTGTATTTTTCCACTGTACACATCTTGTAAGCTCACACCTGGGTTTAGCTCATGTGATTTTCCTCTGCTCTCCTGACTATCATGTTACACATACAGACACACACACACACACACACACGTTCTTATCATAGTCTACTCCTTTCTCGGGCAGGCTGCATTTTTTCTCTATCACTGTTCTCACAATATCCTGCAAGCCTTTTTCACTCCCCCTCCCTGTGTGGGAACCGGTCTTCTGTTATTGGTTTCAATCGTTTTGCACTTCTGCTTGCCTAATTACAAGACACAAATACTCTGTTGCTGGGAAAATATGCATCTTATATAAACACATTTGATTAACTCTCTAAGCTCTAGTCTACTAATTAGTCATACATTATTAGTTTAACTGAGGGTGTGACATTTTAGTCATATCTTACTAACACATTTCTTTATCAGCATGCTAGCTGTTCCTGTAGACTTCTAGTCTTTGTGCTAAGCTAGTAAGCATTTTCACACAAAACTATCTCTAACTTCCATCATACTGGACGAAGATACATAAAAATGGCATCCACATCTGACTCTGGAAACCAATTAATTAAACCAATCATGGAAGTCCCTTGTAGCTCAGTTGGTAGAGCATGGCGCTTGCAACGCCAGGGTTGTGGGTTAGTTTCCCACGGGGGGCCAGTATGAAAATGTATGCACTCACTAACTGTACGTCGCTCTGGATAAGAGCGTCTGCTAAATGACTTAAATGTAATGTAAATATATATTGTAGTGAATTTGAAGGGTAGCCCCGACTGGGACTCTAACCCCGACCGGGGGTCAAACCTCTTGACGAACTCGCAAAAACGGATGAGTAGGGCAGTGAATGGGAATCTCAACACAATCAATTATGCAGTACATGCAGTGGCGGACTTACCATTAGACAGAAGAGGCAATTGCCACAGGCCTCACATCATCAACGGGCCTCGTGAGCTGGACATAAATAAATAATAGTAATCATTAGCAATATGATTGCAAATGTGACTTTCATTGAAATTAAGCTGCAGCAATGAGGTGCTTTCAGAGCGGGGCAGAGAAAATAAGCATAAAAAAAGACTCATAAAGATCCTCTTAAGGATCAACCTTTTTTTTCAACTTTCGCCTAAAATGACATACCCAAATCTAACTGCCTGTAGCTCAGGACCTGCATATTCTTGATACCATTTGAAAGGAAACACTTAGATGTTTGTGGAAATGTTAAATTAATGTAGGAGAATATAACGCATTCAATCTGGTAAAAGATAATACAAACAAAAAAACATGTGTTTTCTATTTATATGTTTCATCTTTGAAATGCAAGAACAAGGCCGCAATATAATATTGCAGTGTGTGCAAAGTTTCAGATTGATCCAGTGAAACATTGCAATACTGGACAATTTTGTATCAAGTCTGCCCAAATGTGCCGAATTGGTCAATTGATACATTTTCAAGTACATAACTATAGAGAACATACAAAAATTATATGGTAATACAAAATCTAAGTTTACACACTCCCAGGAATGTCATACAAGATGGATCATTAGCTTATACACACTTTCACACATCCAGATGGCCGGGTGGGTGTGGAGCCAGAGACAGCAGGGGTTCAAACTGTAGAACCCAGTTCCCACATTTGAATATACAAATTGATTTTATCAAACAGAACTATGCTACATTTTATCTCTGGGACCCTCAGGATGACAAATCAAAGCAAGATTACTGAATGTAAGTACATTATTTACCTATTTCTCAAACCAGTTGCCGTGAAGTTTTTTGTTGTTGTGCACTCTCAAACAATAGCATGGTATTTTTTCACTGTAATAGCTACTGTAAATTGGACAGTGCAGTTAGATGATCAAGAATTTAAGCTTTCTGCCCATATAAGACATGTCTATGTCCTGGAAAGTAATGCTAATCACATTCGCGCACGTTAGCTCTACTGTCCCATATACGGGACATCGATCCCGTAGAGGTTAACAGAAAAATTACCTAAGTTTATGCATTTCTTTAGTAAAAAGACAGGTGCTGCTGATAATACTGCCATTGTCATCAAGGACATGTACAGATAACTTCCAAAATAATGGAAACACTTGAGTAAATGAGGGATACAAAGTATATTGAAAGCAGGTGCTTCCACATGTGTGGTTCCTGAGTTAATTAAGCAATTAACATCCCATCATGCTTAGGGTCATGTATAAAAATGCTGAGCAGGCCATTATTTTGGCTACCGTGGCTATACCCCCTTAAGATGACAATGCCCACATCCACAGGGCACACGAGTGGTCACTGAATGGTTTGAAGTGCATGAAAACAATGTAAACCATATGCCATAGATCTCAACCCAATTGAACACTTATGGGAGATTCTGGAGCGGCGCCTGAGAACGTTTTCCACCATCATCAACAAAACACCAAGTGATGGAATTTGTCATGGCAGAATGGTGTCACATCCCTCCAATAGAGTTCCAGACACTTGGTGTTTTGTTGATGATGGTGGAAAACATTATCAGGCGCCGCTCCAGAATCTCCCATAAGTGTTCAATTGGGTTGAGATCTGGTGACAGACAGCCATGGCAAATGGTTTACATGGCATAAGGTACATTGAAGCTGTTCTGGCTCGTGGTGGCCCAACGCCATATTAAAGATGAATTGAAACGCAAAAAAAATTAACCAAAATATATGTATTTACTAATATACCGTGAAAGGAAACTTTGTAAAAAAATGCCAGAAAAGCAGACCACGTACATTAGTGTCTATTTTGAGAAACAGGCTCCTCACAGGTCCTCAACTGGCAGCTTCATTAAATAGTACCCGCAAAACACCAGTCTCAACATCGACAGTGAAGAGGCGACTCCGGGATGCTGACCTTCTAGGCAGAGTTGCAAAGAAAAAGCAAAATCTCAGACTGCCCATCTTATCTTTTCTTTTTATTGGCCAGTCTGAGATATGGCTTTTTCTTTGCAACTCTGCCTAGAAGGTCAGCATCCCGGAGTCGCCTCTTCACTGTTGACATTGAGACTGGTGTTTTGCGGGTACTATTTAATGAAGCTGCCAGTTGAGAACCTGTGAGGCGCCTGTTTCTCAAACTAGACACTCCAATGTATTTGTCCTCTTGCTCAGTTGTGCACCGGGGCCTCCCACTCCTCTTTCTATTCTGGTTAGAGCCAGTTTGCACTGTTCTATGAATTGCTGATGCTCCACATTTTTAATTTTTTGAATTTCACCAGGTAAGCCAGTTGAGAACAAGTTCTCATTTACAACTGCGACATGGCCAAGATAAAGCAGTGCGATAAAATCAACAACACAGAGTTACATATGGGGTAAAACAAAACAAAGTAAAAAATACAACAGAAAATATATATACAGTGTGTGCAAATGTAGCAAGTTATGGAGGTAAGGCAATAAATAGGCCATAGTACAAAATAATTACAATTAGTATTAACACTGGAATGATAGATGTGCAAGAGATGATGTGCAAATAGAGATACTCTGGTGCAAATGAGCAAAATAAATAACAATATGGGGATGAGGTAGTTGGGTGGGCTAATTTCAGATGGGCTGTGTACAGGTGCAGTGATCGGTAAGCTGCTCTGACAAATGATGCTTAAAGTTAGTGAGGGAGATAAGAGTCTCCAGCTTCAGAGATTTTTGCAGTTCGTTCCAGTCATTGGCAGCAGAGAACTGGAAGGAATGGCGGCCAAAGGAGGTGTTGGCTTTGGGGATGACCAGTGAGATATACCTGCTGGAGCGCATACTACGGGTGGGTGTTGCTATGTTGACCAATGAGCTAAGATAAGACGGGGATTTGCCTAGCAGTGATTTATAGATGGCCTGGAGCCAGTGGGTTTGGCGACGAATATGTAGTGAGGACCAGCCAACAAGAGCGTACAGGTCACAGTGGTGGGTAGTATATGGGGTTTTGGTGACAAAACGGATGGCACTGTGATAGACTACATCCAATTTAGTCGAGTGTTGGAGGTTATTTTGTAAATGACATCGCCAAAGTCAAGGATCGGTAGGATAGTCCGTTTTACGAGGGCATGTTTGGCAGCATGAGTGAAGGAGGCTTTGTTGCAAAATAGGAAGCCAATTCTAGATTTAACTTTGGATTGGAGATGCTTAATGTGAGTCTGGAAGGAGAGTTTACTGGCTAATAAGACACCTAGGTATTTGTAGTTGTCCACATACTCTAGGTCAGACCCATCGAGAGTAGTGATTCTAGTCGGGTGGGCGGGTGCCAGCAGTGTTCGATTGAAGAGCATGCATTTAGTTTTACTAGTGTTTAAGAGCAGTTGGAGGCTACGGAAGGAGTGTTGTATGGCATTGAAGCTCGTTTGGAGGTTTGTTAACACAGTGTCCAATGAAGGGCCAGATGTATACAAAATGGTGTCGTCTGCGTAGAGGTGGCTCTGAGAATCACCAGCATTAAGAGCGACATCATTGATATACACAGAGAAAAGTGTCGGCCCAAGAATTAAACCCTGTGGCACCCCCATAGAGACTGCCATAGGTCCAGACAACAGGCCCTCCGATTTGACACATTGAACTCTATCTGAGAAGTAGTTGGTGAACCAGGGGAGGCGGTCATTTGAGAAACCAAGG